AAATTTATAGCACTAAATGCCCACATCAGAAATCAGGGAAGATCTAAAATCGATACCCTAACATCACAGTTAAAAGAACAAGAGAAGCAAGAACAAACAAATTCAAAAGTGAGCAGAAGACAAGAAATAACTAAGATCAGAGCAGAACTGAAGGAGATAGAGACATGAAAAACCCTTCAAAAAAAATCAATGAATTCAAGAGCCAGTTTTTTTGTAAAGAATAACAAAATAGATAGAACACTAGCCAGACTATTAAAGAAGAAAAGAGAGAAGAATCAAATAGATGCAATAAAAAATGATAAAGGGGATATCACCACTGATCCCACAGAAATACAAACTACCATCACAGAATACTATAAACACCTCTATGCAAATAAACTAGAAAACCTAGAAGAAATGGATAAATTCGTGGACACATATACCATTCCAAGACTAAATCAGGAAGAAGTCGAATCTCTGAAGAGACAAATAACAAGTTCTGAAATTGAGACAGTAATTAATAGCCTACCAACCAAAAAAAAAAAAAGCCCAGAACCAGACGGATTCACAACCAAATTCTACCAGAGGTACCCAAGAGGAGCTGGTAACATTCCTTCTGAAACTATTCTAAACAATAGAAACATGGGGACTCCTCCCTAACACATTTTACGAGGCCAGCATCATCCTGATACCAAAACTCGGCAGAGACACAACAAAAAAAAGATTTCAGGCCAATATCCCTGATGAACATCGATGTGAAAATCCTCAGTAAAATACTAGCAAACAAAAGCAGGCAGCACATAAAAAGCTTATCCACCACGATCAAGTCAGCTTCATCCCTGAGATGCAAGGCTGGTTCAACATATGCAAATCAATAAACATAATCCATCACATAAACAGAACCAATGACAAAAGCCACATGATTATCTCAATAGATGCAGAAAAGGCCTTTGATAAAATTCAACACCCCTTAATGCTAAAAGCACTCAATAAATTGGGTATTGATAAACATATCTCAAAACGATAAGAACCATCAGTAACAAACTCATAGCCAATATCATACTGAATAGGCAAAGGCTAGAAGTATTCCTTTGACAATTGGTACAAGACAAGAATGCCCTCTCTCACCACTCCTATTTAACATCATATTGGAAGTTCTGGCCAGGGAAATCAGGCAAGATAAAAAAATAAAGGGCATTCAAATAGGAATAGAGGAAGTCAACTTCTCTCTGTTTGCAGATGACATGATTGCATATTTAGAAAACCCTGACTCAGCCCAAAAACTCCTCAAGTTGATAAGCAACTTCAGCAAACTCTCAGGATACAAAATTAATTTGCAAAAATTACCAGCATTCCTATACACCAATGATAGAGAGCCCAATCATGAGTGAACTCACATTCACAATTGCTACACAGAAAATAAAATACCTAGGAATCAAACTTAAAAAGGATGTGAAGAACCTCTTCAAGGAGAACTACAAACCACTGCTCAAGGAAATAGGAGAGGACACAAACAAATGGAAAAACATTCCATGTTCATGGATAGGAAGAATCAATATCATGAAAATGGCAATACTGCCCAAATTAATTTAAAGATTCAATACTATTCCCATTAAGCTATCATTGACTTTCTTCATAGAACTATAAAAAACTACATTAAATTTCCCATGGAACCAAAAAAGAGTCTGTATAGCCAAGAAAATGCTAAGCAAAAAAGAACAAAGCTGGAGGCATCATGCTACCTGACTTCAAACTATACTACAAGGCTATAGTAACCAAAACAGCAAGGTACTGGTACAAAAACAGATATATAAACCAGTGGAACAGAACCGAGGCTTCAGAAATAACACAACACACCTACAATCATCTGATCTTTGACAAACCTGACAAAAACAAGCAATGGAAAAAGGATTCCCTATTTAATAAATGGTGCTGGGAAAAATGGCTAGGCATATGCAGAAAAGTGAAACTGGACCCCTTACTTAAAACTTATACAAAAATTAACTCAAGATGGGTTAAAGACTTAAATGGAAGATCTAAAACCACAAAATCCCTAGAAGAAAACCTAGGCAATACCGTTCAGGACATAGGCATGGGCAAAGACTTCATGACTAAAACAACAAAAGCAATGGCAACAAAAGCCAAAATTGACAAATGGGATCTAATTAAACTAAAGAGCTTCTGTGCAGCAAAGGAAACTACCATCAGAGTGAACAGGCAACCTACAGAATGGAAGAAAATTTTTTCAGTCTATCTTTCTGACAAAGGTCTAATATCCAGAATCTACAAGGAACTTGAACAAATTTACAAGAAAAAACAAACAACCTCATCAAAAAGTAGACAAAGGATATGAACAGACACTACTCAAAAGAAAACATTTATGTGGCCAACAAGCATATGAAAAAAGCTCATCACCACTGGTCATAAGAGAAATATAAATTAAAACCACAATGAGATACTATCTCATACCACTTAGAATGGCGATCATTAAAAAGTCAGGAAACAACAGATGCTGGAGAGGATCTGGAGAAAGAGAAACGCTTTTACACTGTTGGTGGGAGTGTAAATTAGTTCAACCATTGTGGAAGACAGTGTGGAGATTCCTCAAGGATCTAGAACCAGAAATACCATTTGACCCAGCAATTGCATTACTGGGTATACACCCAAAGGATTATAAATCATTCTACTATAAACACATGCACACATATGTTTATTGCAGCACTATTCACAATAGCAAAGAGTTGGAACCAACCCAAATGCCCATCAATGGTTGCCTGGATAAAGAAAATGTGGCACATATACACCACGGAATACTACAGAGCCATAAAAAGGAATGAGTTCATGTCCTTTGTGGGGACATGAATGAAGCTAGAAACCATCATTCTCAGCAAACTAACACAGGAACAGAAAACCAACTGTTTTCTGTTCTCAACACACTGGTGAGAACCAGTAGGTTCTCACTCATAAGTGGGAGTTGAACAATGGAAACCCATGAACACAGGGAGGGGAACGTCACACACCTGGGCCTGTCAGGGGTTGGGGACAAGGGAAGGGAGGGCATTAGGACAAATACCTAATGCATGAGGGGCTTAAAACCAAGAAGATGGGTTTTAAAACCACCATGGCACATGTATACCTATATAACAAGCCTGCAAGTTCTACATATGTATCCCGGAACTTAAAGTATAATAATACATTTTAAAAATCAGACTGTTGAGGAGGAAAAAAATGTGAGTTTCGTGAGTGTCCACAGAAACGTGCAATCCCATCATCATAAGATTATGCCAGAGTGCAGGGGGTCATGAGCAAAGGGAGGCCAAGAGGTTTCTGGGAGTAAAGATTCTTCCCATGGAGGGTCTTTTCTGGACCTACCACTAGAGGTCAGGAAAAACTAACCTACATAGGCAGACAAGCCTTGAAGGCCAACATTGTAGATGAGTCTGTTTAGTAGTGGTTTAAAAATCATGTATTGAGGTGCTATGTAGGAAAATTTCTGACATTCTGAATAATTAAAATTGTGAACAGCAAAAGAAATGAATACCTTCATTTATCTTCACTTTATTAATAATATAAACATGGAAGAAATACAATTTATGTACTTAAGAATAAAGATCTGTTTAAAATTGGCACCAATAAAAAAATAAAAGCTTGAAAAGTGGGAAAAGGTCACACTAATTACACTCAGAAGCTAGGTTTCAATATATTGATTAAGCCAAAAATATATCGAAGGCAATTTAAACATAGTGAGCAAGTTTTTGAGAATGAAATTTCTATCTACTTCTAAAGTCTTACTATTTAAAATTATATTCAATCATAATTTCTCCAAAAATCAGTGAATTATGGTTTTGGCTAAAGACAATATCTTACTTCTTTAAATCCTTCCAAAATCTTGCAATTATATCTGAAATTTAATGATGTATTTAATTACATTATAAATCCACTATCATAATTGCTTACCTATTATGTGTTATGATGCTAGATGCTGGGTTAATAGAAATAGAATTCAGACATGATTCTTCAGTATCAATTATCTCAGCATTTAATGGAAGTGAGAGTCACATACACAATAGTCTATAGTAATATATAAATTGCAATTATTTTTCACAATAAATCTATAAAGTTTTATTCAACCAAAAAAGACTACTTTGAGTTAATATTGTCCCCATACTACTCTTTGAAAAACCAAAATATTTTATTCTGTTATCTCCCATAAATACAGTAGCAAAATGACCTTTAGTCCTGAGACATAAGACAGCTACTATTTGATGGACTATAAGATGTCAGGTGTGAATATTGTACTAGAATATTTGAGTGAAGTAATTGTAGAGAAATCCTCTGGGCAGGAAAAGAACAAGAGGGAAACAGTAAATGCCTAGAGAAAATGGAAGAAAGAAGATAAATCCTATGGGGAACAAAATAAAAATAAAGAGGAAATAAACTTCATATAAACTACCCAGGTTTGCCTAAATCCATTTTTTGTTTTCAAGGAATATAATTTGAATCATCAGTCAACTGAAACTAATTTTTATTTCAGTTGTTTTAAAATTATTGGTAAAAATTTTCTGGCTGGGCGCAGTGGTTCATGAATGTAATCCCAGCACTTTGGGAGGCAGACGTGGTGGATCACTTGAGGTCAGGAGTTTGAGACCAGCCTGGCCAACATGGCGAAACCCCAGCTCTACTAAAAATACAAAATTTAGCCAGGCATGGTGGCAAGTGCCTGTAGTCCCAGCTACTTGGGAAGCTGAGGCAGGAGAAAGGCTTGAAGCAGAGGAGGAGGTTACAGTGAGCAGAGATCACGCCACTGCACTGCAGCCTTGGTGACAGAGTGACACCTGGTTTCAAAAAAAAAAAAAAAAAAGAAAAAGAAAAAGAAATCATGTTATATTCTTCCAAAATTTGTAGAAATTTAAAATTATTTGTTATTTCTAAATATCAACTTTTTGTAAAATGCTTATTACCATATGTAGACAGTGACACTTAAAAATATTACTCATCCAAGTTAAAAACAATCTACTTACAATTCTCTGACATTTTTGAAGAGAAATATTCCAAAAGACTTAAAATACTTGCTTCCTTTAATTCTGGAGGGACTGATTTGTCCAAGCGTAAAATATTTTTTCGTGAACTTTTACATTGACAGAAACCAATTAGAGCAGTTTTTCGCAAATCAGAAGTGGCTGCATACAAGCAGATTTCTGCAAGAATTATTGTATATATGTAGACTACATTCCAGGCCCAGGAAAAATCATCTACCTTGTAACTTTCTCCCTGAAATAAAATAGATATCCAATCATCAAAGTATGTCTTTGCATATCCATAACTATATAGTGTACTTATAATAATTGTTAAAAGACCACAATAAACTAATATTTCTAAATGTGTTCATTAAAAAATGGGTTTACCATGAGTAGACTGCACAAAATACGGTTCAAAGAATAAAAAATATAGACAGCTAATAATTATACAAAGAACAACTTCACAATTTAATTAGCAGTCAATGGAATGTAAATTAATTCAATGAGATACTATTTTCCATATCATATTCAAAAGGAACCTTTTGATGTACAGCTCAATTCTAATGTGTGACACTTTCATTTATTGTTCATAGGAATGCAAGAAAGTTATTAATATATCTTATGGAGAAAAGTTTGGACATCTTGCCCAAAAACTTTGAAAGAAACTTCACAGTCTTTCACTTGGTAATTTAATTTTATTAGCCTACTGTAAATAAATAGAAGTGTTGATAGAGATTTTACGTATGAGAATAACAATTCAACATTACTTATAATTAACTGTGAACAAATAGAAACAAATTTAATAACCAACAATACAGAAATATTTCAATAAGTGATCTTACCCCAACCAAATTATAAATTTTAATATTAGGTAATGAAAATGAAAAATGTTTATGATAAATGGTAACTGTGAATTTGCTTTTATATTTAATTAAATTTATTATTATAAAGTTATGCATATTATATACCCTAATACAATATACAATTTAAATAGTGGCAAAAATGAAATCTGTTTCTCTTCGGTTCTCTTTTCACATATAAATTAGCAATGTTACCTGATTTTGAACAGACATAATGCTTGAAACAAAATCTCTCACTATGTCCATTAAAGCTTTCAAGCAGGCCATGTTTAATTTGGCAGCCTCCCCAAGGACCAGTAAAGCCAGTACTGAATCCAACCTGAAAATTTTATGGACAAAAGAATAAAGATTGTAATGGAAAATAATAATAATCAACTTTTTAATGTAAAAAAAGGTAATAGGTCAGAGGAAATGCATGTCTGGATTACAAGATATATTTATTTTCAATAAAGATTAGTATTGGTTCTCACTTATTATGGTAAAAATCTTCAAAGAAGAGACACATTTTGGTAATATGTTTGAGTTCAGAATAGTGCTCTGACAAATCTGAGTAATAAATACTACATATAATCACATTTCTTCATAGATCCTGAACAACAGGCAATCAAGGGCTCTGGTTGTAGAGTACCCCCAAAAACTCACAATAGGTTTTAATGTTTAACCTCTTGCAACTGATTCCACAAGGTGAATTTCAAGAGAGTGTTTTCTTCTCAAAACAGAGCAATTTTTTAAAAACCGCCTTCTTCTAAGATACTCCAAAGATTCAACACTCTTTGATTTTGGAAAAAGCACAATTTCTCAAAATAAAATTTATATTTCACATGAATAGAAGACTAAGTATTATTTTTTAAATATTAAAAAACTGGGAAATCACACAAGAATTTATTAGTTATAAATGTACATATATTTTGAATGTTTTGAAAATTATATATTTGTGATATTTTTACTTAAACAAAAAATAGTTTGAAAAAGAACTGATAAGAGCTCAAATTAAAAATTACTTTGGTCTATAGCTGTTTACTGTCTTGATTTGTAGGCCATTAATAAATTTAAAAGTTAGTATATTTTACAAGATTATTTGAATTTCACAACTGTGATATTTCAGGCCCATAAGTTCAAGGTCATCATCATTTTCTAAATCAAACCATTCTTATCATGAAAATCAAAGACAATTCTTTATATTAAATAGGACTTTACAGATATCAATGTGCTTTCACATAAATTATTTCATTTGATTTGAAAAACAATTTTTGACACATTTAAGATTTCTCTAGATCTTTTTTCATACTAGGCAACTGAGACATAAATAGGTCCGAAGGACTTGTCCAAGTTCCCTTTTTAAACTAGATTAGTTGTAACTCAAGTTTTCTCCCACCAAGAAGTATTTTCTGTCTTGCAATTCTGCTTTTCTAAACCATTACATAAACGTCAATATTTAATCTTAGTGTGGCAGGTGCTGCCTATTGTCCTACCTAATACTAGTTTTCTCCTTTTCTAATGGAACATGCATTTTGTTCAAAATGGCAATATGCTCAATTACGTTAGCCCCCTCAAGATGGAATTCTCTGTATCTTGGTTGGAGTAGTGATTACATGAGTGTATACATTTCCCCAGGGTCATAGACCTGTGTACATAAATGTATGACGTTCATTGTATCTAATTTATATTTCAGTAAGTTTGATTTAAAATTGACTGCCTAGACTCCCTTGAAGATTGGAATAGCCATACAGTGTAGATTTGGTTAATCAGCTAGAAAAGGAAGCATATTATGAAGACTTCCAGGCAAGCTATTATTTTTCTGGTTAAGAAAAAAAATTTTTAATTAAATAACAGGTGTTATTTTTCTCCTTTGCTCATCCTCTTCTTCCTGCTTGTAGTGCATATATTCCATGATACCATAAGGCACAGCAGCCTTCTTTCAACAAGGAGGATAAAAATCACCTGCTATAAAGACAGAAAAGGAAGCTAGAAGAAGCTTGGGTCTTGAAGATTTCCTTAAGTACTCACATCAGCACTGCACTACTTGTCATGTGCAATAAAGAAAGCTCTGTTTGGTTACGCAATTGTAGTCAGGTTTCTGCCAAATAAAGAAGACGAAATCCTAATTGATGCACTTAACATGATGCTTATGAACATGAACTTTAGAGTCAGAAACATCAAGATGAAATCTTAGCTCTGCCACTAATTAGGCATATGATATAGGGCAACTTATGTATCCTCTGTCTTAATTTACTTGTCTATAAAGAAAATACAGTAAAACTCACTTTTTAGAGATTATTGTGAGATTTGAATGAAATACTCCATGTAAAATGTCAAGATTCAGAATGCTAAATTGAATTCAATTACAAACATACTATTTCTTTGACATAAAAAAGATATGAGTTTGATAACTTTCTCATTAAAGTCATAGAGTGACTGGAAGGAGAAGTCCATCCAGATGACCACCAAGAGGGAAACTAAGTCATTCCCCAGACTACTTATCATTTATACTTCATATTATGGTCAATTAAAAGAGAGGATACTCATAGAGTTCATAAAACTTCTTTTCCCTTGAATATACTTCATAATCAGAAGGTTTTGATTCTTCTTTTCTCTTTTAAGTCTGGAAAATTGTAGCTAACCTAGGATTGAACTATGGATTGAAAAAGATCCATCAGTGTTAGCCACCTATGGCAGAGAAATGCTTCACCAGAAACATGCTATTTTCAATTAATGCTGCTGATCACAAAATTGTCTGTGAATGAAAATGCTTTCATCAAAAACAGAAACATCAATACTTATAAAGTACAGTTTGTCAAAAACAAAAGTAAAATTGAAAATCAATGCACATAGAATGGAATTCAAATTGGATTAGGCTAGAAATTTCCATACAGCACTAGCTTCTTTGTGAATTCATTATAATACAGAAAGTCTCAAGTATCAGCATATTGACTTGGTTTTACATTGCCGTGAAATTAAAGTTGTACAAAATAATATGCAACTATTATAGATTTCCTCTAATTTTGTAAATAAAGAAACTGAGCCAGAGTTTTACTGGCTTGTCTAAAATAATGATATATACATACACACATGCACACATTTATAGAAGTTAGAAACATCAGCATTAAAAGTTTTCCTAGATTCTTCTTACTCCTCTATATCCATTTCCTCAATTAGAAGATTTTAATGTTTAAATGGAATTAAAATATCTAAGTAGCAACCCTTGCCAACTTATTTCAACATTGCAACACATATTCCAGTAAGCACTGACAATGTCAAAAATCCACATGATCCCGAAAACAGAATGAGACATCACTAATAATAGCAACTTACAGGGAATTTCCATAAACCATAAAGCTGATGAAGCTAAAGCAATAAGGAGCAACCACATGCCACTTCTTGAAACACAGCAACCTTGTTTTCCCAAAAAAAGTAAGAGAAAAAAACATTTTTTAAAAATAATAATCTCTACTGTTTACCCTGTTTTGCATAGAATCAGAGAAAGTGCCGCCAATCCTTTATCTTGAGATACTGATTTTTTTAAGTAGTGAGAGTATTATTCCTGGGTTCATTCTCATCTCTCCGTATTTATTCAGAGATGATAACATCCTGGTAATGAAAAGGGTAGTATACAGTGTCTATACGCATGTAGGATGGGAGAAGGCAGGAGGGAGGACGATAAAATTGGAATACAGAAGTGCATTTTTTCCTCACAGGTAAACTATCAAAGAGTAAGGAGAACACAGGAAGCTCCCTGATCATTTTACACAGTGAGTGTTGTAATTTTTACCAACTTTGTTATGAATGCTGTGAATACAGACCTCTTATTTTAAAATATCATTTTTATATATTTCTCCTGGTTCTAGAATAAGTAACTGGAAAGTGAAGAAGAGGGACCTATACAAGACCGAGGAAAATAGATTACAGAAAAGGCTAAAAAGAATATTAGTCTCAGTACTCAGAGAGGGTCATAATTCTGAAAATGATTTCTTACAGGAACTAGAAGTTATTTTTACAAGACATGTAGGCATCTTTAATAAAGCCCAGGAATAATAAACCACAATAAAAAGCCTTGATGCTTAGATGAAAGGTAGTAGAGTAAGATAAGAGATTGCAAAGAATTTAAAATGTAAAAATATAATTAAAATCCATAGTTGAGGAAGTTAACTACAGAAATAACAGAGAAAAGTCTTTCATAATTTAGAGGAAAATGTGGAAAGCATACCTATTACTATCTAAGTACAGAAGGAAGGAAGGAAGGAAGGAAGGAAGGAAGGAAGGAAGGAAGGAAGGAAGGAAGGAAGGAAGGAAGGGAGGGAGGGAGGGAGGGAGGGAGGGAGGAAAGAAGGGGAGGGAGGGAGGTAGGAAGGTGAGTGAGTGAAGGGAGGGAGAAAAATTTTAAGTTATGAAGTAAATGGGGCCCAACTAAAGAAAAATATTTCTAATAACAAAAAGTCCAAAATTTAATGCAGCTATCCATGAGAAATATATGGGTTTTCCCACCATAATGTAAAAAATAAAATAAAAATAAATAAATAAAAAACCCTAAGCATCAGATAGGCAGAAGTTGGGAACACATATGAACTATGAGTAGTCAATACAACACCTTGAAAAAATGTAGACCAGCAGCCATAGTATTTGTGCACAGCTTCTCAGAGTGAAGTTTCTCTCTAGGTAAAGCACAGGATTTGCCTCAATAGGCTCCTAACTTGGACAAGAAAGGGTGCCAGTTAACTCCTGCTTACTAAATCACAAAGAGGTTCCTAAAAAATTCTGGACTGAAAATTAAACAGATTAAAAAAAAGAGGACTGATGACTTTGAATATCTCATCATAACTGTGTTAGGAAACAGCATAGCAACATTTAGAGATTTGAAGGAGGAATCAAACAAAAAATAAACACTGTAATCATAGAAGTCTATTACCAGACAAAATGTACATCATACTTTTTAGGGAAAAAATAAATGGTGATAAATGTTATAGCTAGTCAAAGTTTGTATATAATCATGGCCTTACCTAATATAATAAGCAATCAAAAAACATATTTAGAAATTTATTCAAGCTAAGAAAGAAATGAATAGTATTGAACAGTTTAAGAAAGGAAAATCCTAGTGTTAAATGGCTGCAGGTGAGTAGAAGAAAAATAGGTAAGTTTTAATAAATAAAAATAATTTTATAAATATGACCAAATAATTAAATGCAGATATATAAATCATTCTTTAAGGAGAAGACAGAACATTTGAAATAATTAGTTAACTATAATGTTATCAGAACTCAAGATTATATTAACAGACTAGGAAGGGGAGAATTCATGTAAATAAATTTGTCTTGGTCTTTACTG